GGGGGGGGGGGATAAATGGGAGGAACCCAGAGAGGAAAAAAGGGTTTATAGAGGAAATGAGTAATGAGAATACTGGCGAAAGACGGGCTGCCGATGGCGGAGCATCAGGCTCCAGAGTGCGGGTTCAGGTTCAGCCACTGGGCAGCGCGTGCTGCGTTCGAGTTAGGTAATCGGCGACCCCAACGGAAAAAAAAAAAACTTGGGAAAATTGGGGGAGGGGGGAGGATCCAGTGTCGGAAGAGAAGAAAATGTGGGGGAGAGAAGAGTACCCAGAGAAGAAAGAGTAGAGAAGGGAAGAAGTGGGAGAAAGAAGAGGGAGTGGAGGGGAAGGGGAGGAGGAAGAGGAGAAGAGGAAGAGTGAGAGAGAGAAGGATGGAGAGGAGAGAAGATAGGAACCGGAGAGGAGGAGAGGAGAGAGGAGGGAGGGAGGAAGAGGAAAAGATGGGGGGGAGAAAGAGAGAGAGAGGCAAGAGAGGGAAAGTTAGGAGGAAGACGAACCGACAGGCAAAGGCGGACGGAGTTACGGCCGGGAGGAAGAGGGTTGGGGGAAGCCGTTGACCAGGTTAGTTTCTGAACTAGTAAGTAATGAATGATAAAAAAAAGGCGCAGGATAAGGACTGGATGGGACGATATCTATTTCTATTTACTAACAGCTAACAACTAAGTACTACTAGCTGTAGCAACACCAGCAAAAAAAGAATGTCCCAACCCGCAGCAGCAACAACAACACTAATCGATTGCAGGGACGGGATGGTGGAAGTGATGGCCAATGATACCGCCGAATGGATGCTGGTGACGCTGTGGATGGCGGAACGGGCGAGAGGATGGGATGGGATTGATAGGGAACTAATGAAAGGACTGGCAGAGGGAGTGACTGACGGACAAGATAGTAGTAAGTAAGTTACCTTCTGGAGATGCCGAGTGGACCGAGCTAAAAGGCCTGCAAGTGGGTGATGGCGATCTTCCGCAAAACAAATTGGTAGCCTGATCGCGCCTGGCCGATAGGGATGTCTTTCTTCTGTCTGTCTGTCTTGTATCCCCGCTGAGTTCCTGCGTGATCCGAGTCTTTATCTAAATTGGATTCCACCCTTCTATGGACTCTAGACTGGAATAATCTCTTCATTGACTTATGATGGCTAATAATAACAACAACAACAACCACTTCCACTCCTCTCCTGCCGAATCTAGCGAGAGGAATTGACGAGTGACCGGCTATCGCTTACCTAAGGTAGGGCGGAGTCCCGCCGGGCTCTTCCGCTGGTCATTTAACATACATAACATGTCATAACCATACGTCAATACGCCGCCCATGCGCCCGTTATCAAGGCAGTCAGTCCAGGCCGGGGCATCGAACCGACAACTTTCCAGTAGGGCCGGTTATTGGGGCCCTTGTTTGGAGTAAATAGACACCAACAATGAATGTATGTATGGCAGAAACTAGCGAGTATACGAACACACTAACTGACCCCGATGTTACATCTCCGACAATTCCCCTCTCCCCTCTCCCCTACTCCCCTCTCCCCTACTCCCCTTATCATCAGCATTGACATGGTTCCGATTCCAAGCGTATGTATGTATGTATGTATGTATGTGTCTGGGGTTGCAATCCCCCTTGCGGCGGACTCCAGGGACAGACAGACAAGTAAAGCAGGAGGAGCACGACTATCTGACACGTTGTCTTTTGGCGGCCAGGTGGAAGTTGCTTTAATGTTGGTGCTCCGTATCCTTCCGGAACTTATCCAATGGGTATCGGTTTGGCTGGCGTCATGGGTTTCGTGATTGTGCACCAGTTGGAGGGCCGCTCGGAACCCGGCCTGGACCAGCTCATCCTTTCGGACGGGGGTCGCGCTCCGCCCGTGCTGAGCCGGTGCCAGTCGATCAGGGAGCTTCGGGTTTCATACCCTCCCAAAAGTTCTTATACTCGACTCATTGTTTGGATGTGCATAGTAGCTGATGGGGAAGCTTCCCCTTCTTCACAGTGTGAAACATTTCATAGGATCAATCGGATGAAGATGGTTGCCTAAAAAGCCTTTTCATCAAACTGGGACCAGCAAAGGCCGGGCTGTGATGGGCGCGTGTGTCCGACACTGGCCGGGTTCCCGCCCCCCCCCCCCCCCCCCCGATACGCGCTAACCCGGGCCGGTGGTCAAGTACTGTCAGAATGAGAAATATGACAGATGCTGTGTATTCTTACCGTTATTAATTGCCAGGAATTCAAAAGAGTTTTCCGATCTCCTCCCAGCGTCCACAGATCCCGTGACTGGCTCAACCTCGTGATTCACGGTTGTTTTTGCTTGTTGCTGCGCTGCTGCTGCTACTGCTGCTTTTTGCTATTGCTGCGACGGCTGAAAATCCCTCATAGTCAGAGTTTCCTTCCAACAGCTTTGACTGACTGACTGACTGACTGACTTCCTCCGCCCCCCGTGAAATTCCCGTCCGGCCCAATTTGGCATTTTCGTCCACACCGGTGTGCCATTCCAGGGAGCTGCCGGCCAGTCCATTCCGATTTCCCTTGTTGTTCCCATCTATTCACTAGTCTAGCTGGTTCATCTCTCTGCATTTCCCCTCCTTCCCCTCATTTTCTTTACCCGACACCACATTATCTAATCCACTCCCCTTCCTAATTGGACCAAACCCACCCTTTCACACATAATCTACTACTAAGTGCTTCCCCCCTCCCCAACCTAAACACTCCCTCCCAGCCAAGCCATGTCCGAAAGAGGCTCGTTCCGTGGAGGTGGTCGCGGCCGCGGCGGAGGCTATGACCGGTCTGGCGGTCGTGGCGCCCACAGAGGTGGCGGTGCTGGTGGCGGTGCTCAGCAGCAGCAGCAGCAGGAGAAGCCCAAGAAAGAAAACATTCTCGATTTGAACAAGTACATGGACAAGGAGGTGCGCGTCAAGTTCAATGGCGGTCGCGAGGGTAAGACCCACCCTACTGTTACTGTACAATGCTTTTGCTAATAGTCATGTCCAGTTGTTGGTCTACTCAAGGGATACGACCAGCTCATGAACCTGGTCCTGGACGATGTCAAAGAATCCATGCGCGGTAAGCCCCCTGTAATCTCCCCCCTACTACTCCCTACTGACCATCACAGATGACGAGGGCAATGAGAACACTCGCTCGCTGGGTCTCGTCGTGGCCCGTGGCACCATCATCGTCCTGATCTCGCCCGCCGACGGCAGCGAGGAGATTGCCAACCCCTTCGTGCAACCCGAAGAGTAATCACGTGCTCTGAGGCCGATATCAGAGCAACTTGGCGGTTTGTTGGTGCCTGATGCGGTGTCTCCTTGGAGTGACCAGCCATGTGCATGCCCCGCACAATTGACGACAATGGTTGCAGCACTCGTCCGCCTCACGTCCTGCTGGATGTGGTCGATGGGTCTGCGTCTATCTCGATGTTGCCGTCCACCACGGACGGTGGACGGAATCTTACTATACACACCCTACGAAGGCAGATGATGAAATGTATTATGTGCGCCCTGAGCGTTGACTTGTACCTGCATGAAGCCATGCATAGCACAATACCAGAATATACTACATAGTAATGGCGGGCATTTGACTGCCTACAATCAGCTTACTTTCCGCCCTGTGTGTGGTCATGACATCATCCTCTGTCGTCATGAACAACCTGTCGTTTTCTCCAATATGCTGCCGTGTATGATGCTGTAACCCCCAATGTTTAAAGTTAGTGCGTTTCACCATAATAATATTTGTATCTCCTTCATGATGTTACTGAGCATTAGGCTCAGCCCGGCAGAGGGGTCTAGGCCCAGCTGGCCTGCCCTCGTCTAGATAGAAAATAACTGATCCCTGCAACGCAACACAACGAGCAGCAACAGACCCCATTAATATCTTCTCCATCTCCATAACCTGGCCATCTATGATGAAAATCCTCCTCTGGGCCTTAGTGGCCTTGCCCATCTCCACCGCCCTCGTCTTCCCATTCCACCATAATCCCCTCCCCGAAGACGACAATAGTATCACTATCGCCGACGAGAACATAGACTCCGACCTAATCAATGGCATAACTACCACCCTCGCAACAGCCCTCGACCACCTCACAACCGACATCTATCCCACCATCGTGAACAACTACCTCAACTACAACCCTAGTGATTCACCCCATCTTTACGCCCAGCACGTCTCCGACCTCGCTCCGCCCTTCCGCCATCCCACTCCACCCCCATATCTCCGCCACCCCGCATCCAATAAGACCCTCTACGACCTCATCCTCTCCAACCCGGATACTTCCATCCTCGCCCACTTCATCCGCAACGACCATCATCTTACGACCCTACTCAACAGTACCACCTCGAACAACCTCACCTTCTTCGCTCCCACCAACGAAGCCATCCGCAAACTCCACCACCACCACCACCACCACCACCATGACCATGACCATAATACCAACAATTATAAAGAAACCCACGCCCGCATCCACCACATCCTCACCTACCACACCGTAAAGGGCTCCTATCCCATCGACAAACTCTTCCAATCACCCACCGTCCCGACCTACATCCATACTGAACATAGTACCCTCCCCCAACGCATCACCGTCCGCCCAATCACAACACGCGACCTAATGCTCAACTTCCACAGCCGCATCATCTCTCTAGATAAACACGCCTCCAATGGCATTCTCTACCACATCGACTCGGTTCTCATGCCTCCTCCGTCTATTCTTACACTACTTAACTCCCTTCCTTCCGAGTTCAGCACCTTTACGCTAGCATTGTACAGAACTGGTTTGGATAGGGTACTTACCATCAACTCTGATACAAATACCAATACCATCACCAGCAGAAGCAGAAGCAAGAACCTCAACAAAGCCCTATACGTTCAATCTAACGACCAAACAAAACCACCACCACCACCACCCACCTCACCCTCCCAAACACAAGACAAAGAAACCAAAGGAGGAAGTGGTCTAACCCTCCTCCTTCCCCCCAACCCCTCCTTCGTGGCAACATTCACCCCCGAAGCCCTCACCTTCCTTTTCTCCCCCGAGGGGCGTGAATACCTCTCCGCCATCATAAAATACCACATTGTCGTTGGCGAGACGCTCTACTCGGATCAGCTGTATACCAAACACGGTGATATATCCCCCCTTTCATCGACGGATAAATCCATGTTTTATATAGAGATGGAGAGTTTATTACACAGATACCATTTACATTCACATATTGATGATGATGATGATGATGATGATGAAGGGAAAGCGGAGAGGCTCTTCATCGATGCGAAACGCCACCACGGCGCGTATTCATATCTCCGAATAAATGGGTACCAGGGTGTCTTGAAGGCCGGGGAGTTGTTGACTGCCGAGGGGAGTATGTTTGTTTTGAGTGGGGGGAGGGTGTTGGTGCCGCCGAAAAGAGGAAATGGGGAGGAGTATGTGGTTGAGGGGAGGGAGAGGGGGGATGATGGTGATGGGTATATGATGGGGGTGGAGGTGAGGGAGAGGGTGGGGAGTTGGTTGGGTCATGGTGGATGATTGATTTATTGTGCTTTGTGAGGGAGATACTTAGTTTTGAGGTTTGAGGTAGTTGTATCTATTAATTGTAGATAGGGACGGTGGTCGGGGGAGTTTGACTTTTGGTGTTTGGTGTTAATGTGCTTGTTACACTACACCAATGATACTATATTGAATAAGCTGCAAGTGAACTTCAATCTCATACATTTCTAACTATGGCGTATTCGTCTTAATGTTCTTCTTCGTCACTGCTGTATAAACCTGCCTTGATCCATCGTCCAGCCATCACATCAATAATGAAGTAGGCGTTAAGGATAAGTATCATCGGCAGTAAAAATAGTCAATGTAGACATATCAGATCCTCGCTGGAACATAGGAAACATATTCCCTCCACCATGATTTCAATCCAAAATATCCACCTCCCATCCATCCATCTGTCATTTAAGAATAGGCCAGCCCGAGTGCATGACACTCATCACATACCATATTGGGTATATGTATGTAACAGATGCATAGTGTCAAGCCCTGTCAGACTACTCAATGCAGCCTCCTACTGGCCGAAGGCTTCAGCAGCGCCTGGAAAGACGATTCCAGAGCTTTCTTCAGCTCCTTATAGCTGACCACGAAGCAGCTCTGCTCGTCGCGGCTGATCAAGGTGATTTTTTCGTCGGTGCCTGCGTCCAATTTATTCAGGCACATGATCACATGGCCCAGGTCGACGACTGGATCGCCCTGCGCGTCAACCTGGTGGAAGACGTAATCGCGGAAGATCTTCAAGAAGTACCGCTCGCCGTTCTCGGACCATTGACGGTCGTGCTCATACTCGGGTCGCTCGTTGATGAAGTTCAGCTTCGTCATGAGCCGGACGAGGCGGCCGTTCTCGAGTTCGCGACTCAGGTCGGAGGTCAATTGGTCGTCGAGGTGAAGGGCGGAGTCGAACGTCGACATCAGTGTCGATGAGATGCCGGTGATAAAAATGTCAATATTCCTTTCCTGGTCCTTCTGGAGCCCGTTCAGCAGCCAGAAGACCGAGTTCTTCAGCTGCGCAGTGTATGCGCGTGTGAAGTGCTCCATGGCCTTGGTAGGGTTGTGCATTACATTGGGCTGATTGGCGCCCAGGGTGACGATGAGCTGTCCAAAATTGACCAAATCCTGCCGCTGCAGTTCGGCCAGAGATCGCTGAGTGTCGAATTGAACCACATCCATGATAGCGCAGGCGTTGAGACGAATGCGGTTCCGCCCAGTCAAGAGGATCTTGCTTGGGTCAATGATCCTGGCAGCCAGTTGACTGGCATGGATCGCTTTCAGAGCATTGGCAATCTGAGTCATGTAACCCCAGAGAACCTGTTCCGGGATGTGCGTGTTATGGCGACCTTGGAATCGGTTTCCGGCGCCAAGGTGCTGCTCAGCCAGAGTCTTTGACAATGGGTGATAGTCGGTGACAAAGATCAAGGAGCTGTCCTGAAAGCTTCGGCTTGTAAAAGCATCGTGGACTGTCACGACACTACCGTTGCAGACACGCTTCCAAGCTTGCACGGAGCGGATGGCCTTTTCGTTCGTCAACCGGAAACCTATATACGAGTTAGTATCCTGATAATGGCATGGAAAGGATTACAGTACCCTCGAGTCTCCGGAGAGCGTAAAAGTTTCCGTCCTTACTGGACTGGGCTTTGTACACCCAGCTGGGGAAGCCAAAGATGGTAGCGTTCTTCTGATGGTTAAGATCGAGCGGGACAAGAGAGTGGAAGTAATCGACCTGAGCTGGGAGCTGAGTATCTAACATCAAGTCAGCATCGTCAACAAACGCACTCAGATGTCGGCAACGTACTTGGCAGTGTCTGGAGCGTGGCTGCTGCCTTCTTCTGCATTTCCTCCCGTAGGTCATTAGGGAGGAAAAGGTCGTGTACGTTTCGCTGATAGCCTAACGTATTCTGACTGTGAGGCCCAATCGGGGCATACATGTGATATTGGACCTAACGCTTGATTAGGATGATTTTCGTACCACAGATAAGAAGTGGCTTACTGGCTGCTGGAATCCAGACTGGTTGGCGAAAAACGCTGCTCCGTTCAACGCTGCAGCAGTGTCATGCGAGAAAGGATTGGCCTGCACCGGGCCGACGGCGTTTGCTGCAGAGAGGGGATTCGGGGCGGTCACAAAAGGGTCGAAAGCGCTCGTGCTGGGAACACCGGCAGTCCCATTGCCTTGCAGGGAGCCCTAACCAATTAGCATTGCAAGCACGTACACTTCGAGCAGGATCACCACAGCAAATGACATGCGAAGCAGTCAACCTGCGTGGGGCACCTCGATCTGGCAGCCTTACCATATGTGCAGTATCAAATCCCTGAGGTACAAACTCTTGTACCTCTGCCACAGACCAATCGGGGGTCATCGTACCCGGGCGAGTAGTAGGGGTGCTGGAGTTGGATCCTGATAGTAGTCAGATTCCGCTTCGCATCCCGGAAACCATTGGGGCATACGTGATGATATACTTCTAGGTTGGAAGGGAGCTGCGCTCGCAGCCTTGGGCGAGATCGTAGCCATTTTCTTCATCGTTGCTGACTGGGAAGTGGGCGATGATCCATTCGATGACAATATGGATGGGGTAAAACTAGGGGAGTCGACGTTCAGACGTTTCTTATTACTGCAAAATGAGTAAGTCATCCTCCTCTCTGACTCCAACATTGCGCGCCTCTCCCGGAAGTGCCAACCTGTCTGATTGATATCCTGAATTCACTTTATGCGGGTCGTGATTGAAGGCGCACCCTTCACAAGCAATCGGACGGTTAGACGGATCCTAGCGAGCATGAAGAGGAATAATAGGCAAGGAATGGCTAAGCACCTTTATCTTCGTAGCGACATCGGCCATATATGGTCACGTTGCGACACAGCGTATCTTTGGCGTTCTCTGTAAGGTCAGGATGACGACTATGTTAGCTGATACCGCCGAAAGAAGCAAAGGCCGACGGGAGCATTGAATCATAGTCCAACTAACCTCGTCCCTTCATCTTCGGAGACCCCGTACCACGACGGGCGTCTTCCAGCGTTGCAGACTTTCCCGTGGTAGCCATGATAAAGTTCGTTATCCACAGTTGGGCGCGGATCAACGGACAGGTATGTCCATTGAGTCAAGAAATATCGGGCGACCTAAGATATCGAGAGGAAACCACATTCCTCTATGGAGAAGACCCGTAGACTAGCTCGACAATCCGAGATGCCCTCGGAGACGTTGTCGAGGCGATGTTTCACTGATGGCAGGGTAAATGTTCCGCAACAGCCAAGGACGGCTGGGATGGCGAGATTGGGCGCCCTTTCGAGCGTCAGATGGTGGGAACAGCCAAAACAATTGAGAAAAAACGTCCGGAGACAGGATCGGACGAAGATCTCATGCCATGGATGGTGACAAGGCAGTAAGACCGCAAGGCAGCATCCGAACCAAGGGCGGCGCGGGGGGGGGAGGAGTGGGAGGGGGAACTTGGACGGGAGTGCGTCGAACTCCGTCCCGTGCACGGACCACTCGTGCGTCAAGCGCGCGTCTAGCGTGGCTCCCGGCCATGACGGAGCTGTCCTTCTGAGGCCAGCTAGTATTATCGTTCATTCCCCACGACTTCCCCTCCCTACCATCTTCCTTAACTACAGCCAGATTTGCATCTGTGGCGGTATTCTGCATGCCCTGAGCATTCTTCAGGAGCTCTACTTCTTCTGTTTTTAGCTCCCCCTCTTTATCCTCAATAACTAGGCTATTCTGACGCACACGACTCCCCGCGGCTCATCTATACCTCGTCACTCACGCCAGTTTTCCTGGCCTCGCTGCTCCTCTTCCAACCATTCTTTTCATGGATGAGATCATCAATTGACCATGTCCACCTCCGGGCTTGATATATCCCAACTCTCCGACAGCGAGAGGTCCGCTCTGGAGACGTATACTGCGGTCACCGGTCAGGAACATTCGGAAGCCATTCCTTTGTTGCGCCGCTCACAATGGAACGTGCAGGTAAGCCCGGATGACGACATACTACCTCTAGATGCCTTGGGAACTAAGCATTTGCTGCCTCCAGATTGCCATCTCCAAGTTCTTTGACGGCGAGGGGCCGGATCCCGTCGAAGAAGCCCGTGCTGCTCTCAACTCCCCTCCGCGACCCGCCCGACAGACCCAAAACCTCATGAGTGATGACATTGCTGCGCAATTTACTCCGACTCTCCGTGCTGCTGAGCCAGCACCCCGGATAAATACACAGCCTGAAGACCAGTCGGTCTATCGCCCGCCCTTCATACTAGCTCTGCTGTTTACTCCGCTCAACCTCCTCTATCGACTACTCTACAGCTCCTTCCGCCTATTCGGTGCCTTGTTTCCCTTTCTTCCGCGCTTCTTCAACACAACAGCGAATCCCGCTCTTCAAGGCTCCCGGAGAAATACTAACGGTCGCCGGCCCTTGGGTCCCAAAGACACGGCCGCCCGGTTCATCCGGGAATTCGAGGAAGAATATGGCACCAATTCGATCAGTTTCCTCGAGAACGGATATAACATGGCATTGGAGAAAGCCCACCGGGACCTCAAGTTCCTCCTAGTTGTACTTCTTGCCCCTGAGCATGATGATACGAATGGCTGGGTCCGAGACACACTTCTGTCTCGCGAAGTGACCGACTTTGTGAATGACCCACAAAACAACCTACTTGTCTGGGGAGGGAATGTTCAAGACTCTGAGGCTTATCAAGTTGCCAACTCCCTCCGCTGCACCAAGTTTCCCTTCGCAGCCGCTTTAGTCCATACTCCGAACGTTTCCTCGAATGCGATGTCGGTTGTGTCGAGGATATCGGGAACAACGTCCCCTGCTGAATTTGTGGAGAAACTTCGATCGGCCATCTCGCAGCACAAGGAGCCTCTCGAGCGCATACGGTCAACCCGGGCAGAACAGCAAGCCTCACGCAGCCTCCGTGAACAGCAGGACTCCGCCTACGAGCGTTCCCTGGCCATCGACCGCGAGCGGGCAAGACAGAGGCGGGAAGCCGAGGCCGCCCGACAGAGGGAAGAACAAGAGGCGGCCGAACGTCAAGCGGCCGAGGAGAAGCGCATACAGGATCTTCAGCAATGGAAGCAATGGCGGGCACAGACCATTCCGGAGGAGCCTGGACCGGACGTCAAGGACGCTGTACGCATCAGTATCCGACTGCCTTCTGGTGAGCGTGTCATCCGCAAGTTTGCGCCTGACGCGTCGCTTGACGAGCTCTACGCTTTTGTTGAATGTTACGATATCCTGAAGGAGCCAACAGAAAAGGCTGCAGAAGCAGTGAAGCCGGAGGGCTTCGATCACCAGTATGGGTTCCGGCTGGTTTCACCCATGCCGCGGGTGGTCTACGAAGTGGAAGCTGGGGGATCAGTGCGGGACAAGATCGGCCGAGGAGGAAACCTTCTAGTCGAACCGATCGATGACGGCAGCGACGAGGAGTCAGAAGAGGAGGCATAAGCTCTTGGACTCACGGTTGTAACTGTATTGTTATCGCATCCTGGCTGCATGGCGCAAGAATGGGGCTGTCCGGGTGATTTGCAGATACTTTCCAGCACTTTGACTATTTTAGTATGTAATAACAAAGATCACGATAATGACACGGAACAACAAGGTGCCAACGGCCCCAGTGACGCTATGCCACCCTGCAGAAAGAGCCTCTGTGCGCGGGAGTGGTCCCCGAACTCAATTTCTTGTAGAAGATACTTCGAGTAGTGAGTGTGGTCATGTGCGGTTGGTTCTCGCCGGGGAGGCCCGACAGCACGGGATCTTGGCCATCCGAAGGCAGACCGATGCTGATGCGTTAGTCTCAATTCTTACTCCGCCAATTAGTAATGTTAGCTGCGTGTATGAGACATGATGAGCTCGTATGAGTCACATTGTTATCATTGTCGGGGCTGCATGCTGATCCTGCCGTGGTCTTAACTTACCGCACTCATAACTTTATATTGAATTCGGAGTGATACGACACCCGAAGGGCGCGAAGTCAGGACCCCGCGGTTCCCGAAAAGGGCGATCCAGCCAGTGAGGATGCTCGGAAATATTAGGCAGGGAGGAGCACCTACGTATTCATACATATATTGGGCATTTTAAGTAAAGAATCTCACCGTGTTGGGCGGTGATTGGAAAATGTCCGGAGCTTGGACTCGAGTCTGGAGATAAGTCGGTGCGCTCTGCAATGAAGGTAGGCGCACAGGGATGTGTGAAGAATATCCACATAGTTGATACATAGCCTGCTATCAACTTAGGACCACAGATGCCACATATTCAGCCCTCCCAGCAGCGATCATTTGTGGAGTGACACAGAGCCGCTCTTATCTCGAGTCTGTAAATAAACTACGTAGCTACCTTCAGGCTGCATATCTATAACTCCAAATCGTGCATTAAGCTTCTCATGTTCGAGCATAGCTGAGTCATTCATATATAAAAGGGTGCATAAGGATCTGTACCGCAACATCGGATCGTGAGGTCTCCGATACGGTACCGTAAAGGGGGCAATTAGAGACTAAATGGCCGGGCCTCGGAAGGCTGGAGTCCCGCCCCACTCCGCCCCACCCAGAAGCTGCCATTCCTGTTTGGGACAATGGCCGCTCAGCCCCGAACCTCGTTTTCGCCACGTTTTAGGGAAAATTCGCACACTTGGAAGTCTGGAAAACTGGGTTTGCTTATTAGCGATCGGGATGAGTCTTACTTGACTCAGCTCCTGATTTAACTAATTGCGCGAAGGATCCGACTCCTTATTTGATGATTCAGAATTGTTGTTCGGTGCTACGTAGCGTAAGCTTCTCGATAGGTCTATGTGCAGGCTTGTTTTGTTTTACTTTGTTGGTGGGTTCTCAAGGATTTTTTCCGAGTACCTAACAATAGCTTGTGTGACATGAGCGACATGTGACTAGTTATCACTTATCTTCATGCATGCAATCGTCATGCCTAATATTGCCTGAAGCATACTTGATGTTGCTGAAGTACTACACTACACAATGTCCTTTATGGCGGTGTAAGAAGAGTAAACAAGTAAAGCAGCTAAAAATCAAGCATTGTAATGATTGAGATCTCTGTGGCAAACCGTCAGGGTCTACTCATCACCATGGCCAGTGACCGTTACAAATGTCAGGGCTAGAGACAGATGATATAGATAGATCGCGGGAGCTCAATAATTTCCGTCCCCAGATCATAGTAACATCGGACTTAGTAGCTAACAGGGGTATTGAGGTGGGTATCTCCGGGACCACCAGAAACTCTAGTGTAGTGCTTCGAGGGCCTCGTTTAGCCTGGCGTAAACGGCGTATTGTCGTATTGCTGCCGGGGGGGGGTGAATACGCACGGAGAGGCCTGCTTGAAGGTACCGAGAACAAGGCCCACCACCGGAGCAGTCAATCCTGGGATCCGCCCGGATAACCTCTCGTTCCTGGCCCCGATTCGTCCAGAAGCCTCTTCTCAAAACTTTCCATCTCAAGTCGCCATTCTGCGCTGCCTAACACTAAAAACGGGGGGTGAAGCCCAGACCTCTAAGACCCGCAACCCAAGGTTTTTCTGTCGCCCTTTTTCCTCTTTCATTATTCGCAGATATTACTTTGCGACTTACAATTTAAGAGTGTTCAGTGTATTACGGGGCACACGTCTTTTGGAGGGGGGGCCGTTTTCTAGTAGCTCCAGGTACTGGATACTTTTTATGCTTAGCGGCTGCCACTTATTTCTCGACTGCTGCTATCTATCAATTATTCCCTCCCCCTCAGTTTCACCTGTCACTCTTTCACTCGCCTCTACGGAGGATATCTCCCCCCTTCATCTTTCCTGATATTCCTGATATCTATTCTTATAATTCTGGATATCTCTCCTAATTGTCTTTTCTCCACACCTCCTTCTATTTCTCTTTCCTCATACTTTTCCTCCTATGCTATTGGCATCCTCTCGTTGACCGGCTCAGTCTGAGACTGCGTGTCTCCATATCTAATCACCATGTCGCTTCTAGGCACTATAAATCCTAATTTTAATCCCGGCCGTTCGGTGGAATCCCATGGCGGTCATGAGAACGAGAATGAAGGCGCTCAAGCCGAGGGAGCTGCTGCCGTGAACGAAGGAACTGAGCACTTGGTTCGCGAGGAGCACACAGTGTACACGACCCATCATGAAGAGCGTCACACAAGTCTCTCCCCGGAATCTGGCAGATCCGAGAAGAAGGGAACTGCCTGGGGTATGGACGGAAGCACTCTGAGCACTGCTGAAACCGCCATGGAGAAACGCGATTACAGCAGCGAGGACGCCGATGAAGATCAAGAGGAAAAAGCTGCCGAAGAGGAGGTCACTCGACTTGCACAGCAACTGACTCGTCAATCGACACGGTTCTCTGTCAGCAACAACGCGGAGAACTCGTTTCTGGAGGTGAAGGATGACTCTACGCTGAACCCGCACAGCCCCAACTTTAAGGCGAGGCACTGGATGAAGAACTTGTTGGCGCTTTCGTCTCGCGATCCGGAACGCTATCCCAAGCGTGAGGCGGGTGTCTCGTTTCAGAATCTTAGTATCCATGGTTTCGGCAGTCCTACCGATTACCAAAAGGATGTTTTCAACTCGGTGTTGCAGGTTGGTGCCCTTATGCGCAAGCTGACGGGTACTGGAAAGCAGAAGATCCAGATCCTCCGCGACTTCGATGGTCTTGTCAGGAGTGGTGAAATGCTGGTGGTCCTCGGTCGTCCTGGTAGTGGATGCTCTACCTTCTTGAAGACTCTCGCGGGTGAAATGAACGGTATCTACATGGACAAGGAATCTGAATTGAATTACCAGGGTATCTCGGCCAAGCAGATGCGGAAGCAGTTCAAGGGCGAAGCTATCTATACCGCGGAAACCGATGTCCACTTCCCTCAACTGACTGTCGGCGACACCCTCAAATTTGCTGCCCTTTCTCGCTGCCCACGGAACCGTTTCCCCGGAGTCTCGAAGGAGCAGTATGCTATTCATATGCGTGATGCGGTTATGGCTATGCTTGGTCTTTCGCATACCATCAACACCCGTGTCGGTAACGATTTCGTCCGTGGTGTGAGTGGTGGTGAGCGCAAGCGTGTCAGTATCGCTGAAGCTACTCTTTGTGGAAGCCCTCTACAGTGCTGGGATAACAGTACTCGTGGTTTGGATAGTGCGAACGCACTTGAATTCTGCAAGACCTTGAATTTGATGACCAAGTACGCTGGTGCGACCGTCGCCGTGGCCATCTATCAAGCCTCCCAGAGTGCTTACGATGTCTTCGACAAGGTGACTGTGTTGTATGAGGGCAGGCAGATCTACTTCGGTCCTACCGATGAAGCCAAGGAATTCTTCACCAACATGGGATTTGAATGCCCTGAGCGTCAGACCACCGCTGATTTCCTGACCTCCCTGACCAGCCCTGCTGAGCGTATTGTGAAGCCGGGTTACGAAGGCAAGGTTCCACGCACCCCTGACGAGTTCGCCGCCGCTTGGAAGGGCAGTGAGGCCTACAGTAGGCTGAAGAGACAAATTGCCGAGTACAACCAAGAATTTGCAATCGGTGGAGAGTCGCTTGGCAAGTTCATTGAATCTCGCAAGGCCATGCAATCGAAGAACCAGCGCGTCAAGTCTCCCTACACCATTTCTCTTTACGAACAGGTCAAGCTCTGCTTGATTCGAGGTTTCCAGCGACTACAAGGTGATGCCAGTCTGACCATCTCCCAGTTGGTCGGAAACTTCATCATGGCCTTGATCATTGGAAGTGTATTCTACAATTTGCAACCGGTGACTTCTAGTTTCTATTCCCGTGGTGCCCTTCTCTTCTTTGCCGTCTTGCTCAACGCCTTCTCCAGTGCTCTTGAGGTAAGCTCAGCAATCTCCTCTGGCTTCGCATAACCAATATAAGAGACTAACCGCAATGACAGATCTTGACCCTGTATGCTCAACGTCCGATTGTCGAAAAACAAGCCCGCTACGCCATGTATCACCCGTTCGCCGAAGCCATCGCATCAATGCTTTGTGACATGCCTTACAAAGTTGGAAATGCCATCATCTTCAACATTACTCTGTATTTCATGACCGGTCTTCGTCGCGAACCAGGCGCATTCTTCGTCTTCCTGTTGTTTTCCTTCGTGACGACCTTAACTATGTCCATGCTTTTCCGCACTATAGCTGCCTCTTCTCGCACTCTTTCCCAGGCTCTGGTGCCCGCTGCCATCCTCATCTTGGGTCTGGTCATCTACACTGGATTCACCATTCCTACGAGATACATGCTTGGCTGGTCGAGATGGATGAACTACATCAACCCCATTGCTTACGGATTCGAGAGCTTGATGGTTAACGAATTTCATCATCGTCAATTCCTGTGCTCTGAATCAGAGCTGATTCCAAACTACTCGGGCGCTTCGATCGAGTACCAGATCTGTTCCACGGTTGGCGCTGTTGCTGGAGCCAAGTACGTCCAGGGTGATGACTACCTTCACAAGAGTTTCCAGTACTATGACAGCCACAAGTGGAGGAACTTGGGTATCATGTTCGCCTTCATGATCTTCTTCATGACTACCTATCTGCTTGCCACCGAGTTCATCTCGGAAGCCAAGTCCAAGGGTGAAGTGTTGCTGTTCCGCCGTGGTCAA